ATTTCTTCCTGTGTTTTGTCAGGGAGATTTTTTTAGCAGATGGTGTAGTTTCTTTAGGTAATCCTCAGTGGGATCAGAGGATAATGGCCTGTAGAATGTGGTCTTAGAGAGCCGTCTTTTTGCGGATACAGACTAACACGGCTGCTACTCTGAAACCTGCTAATATTGCTGTTACTTGAATTTGCCTGATTTGATAGGAAAATTTCCATCTTGCACTCTATTCATCTTAGATCTTCAGAAGATAAAGGGTAAAATTTTGGAAAGCATCTGTCTCACGGAGTTTTATGTATCTCAAACAATAGGACTTAGGTTCCTTTGTGCCTCAGTGACATTTGAAATGGGGTTTAGCCTCTAAAGTCACTGAGGCAAAATTGAAAATTTTACCCACAGTCATTCTTTGGGCACCAGAAAGCGAGTATCTTAAAAATGTACTACTTAAGACAAATGACTGAGCTGCTTTCCTTCAAATCATGAACCTATAAAGTTTGCACAAAATTGGTTTTCTTTGATCCCTTTAATTCAACTGGGCTTATTGTCTAAGGCAGTGTTTCTCAAACTGGGGTCTGTGGACCCTGCTGATCAACTCCTCCCCCTCCCTCCCAGCACCTCCTGTTCAGCAGCATGCAGGAGGCACTGGGAGGGAGGGGGGAGAAGCGGGGGATGGGGGCATGCTCAGGGGAAGAAAAAGATGGGGGGGGGGGAGAGAGGCAGGGGCGGGAAGAGGTGGAGTGGGGCGGGGCCTTGGGGGAAGGGGTGAAGTGGGAGCAGGACCTGGGGCTGAGCAGGGGGTTTGGGCATCCACAAAAATTTTTAAATCAAAATAGGGGTCCTCGGGTTGCTAAAGTTGAGAACCACTGGTCTAGGGAAAAAGAATACAGATTTACTTTGTGTAGCATATTTCATACAACATGAGATGCAAAATACTTCACAGGGTTAAATGATTAAATATGGTATATGGTATAAATTACAGAAACAGGAAGATAAAGTAACTGTATGGTGAATAGATTAATGTACTCAGTCATGAGGCTAATAAGTACAAGGGAAAGAGAGAAATCAAGAAGCACAGGCAAGGGGAGAAAAGATTAGGGTTTAAATATTAGCTTGATCCAATATTAAAGGAATCTGCTAAATCACAACATGTTCAAAGTGACAAAGTAGTAACAAATTACCTTGCTAGGAATTATGTTAAGGATCCTTGTTCTGCATTCTATAACTTAGTAACGATAGTAATAAATCTGTGTGATTACTTCTGTGTG